CCGCGCAACAGCAGACTCAGAACCCTCAGCGCCAGCACCCGCAGCAGCTCCAGAACCTCCAGCGCCAGCACCCTCAGCATCTCCGGAACCTCCAGCGCCAGCACCCGCAGCAGCTCCAGAACCTCCAGCTCCAGCACCCTCAGCAGCTCCAGAACCTCCAGCGCCAGTACCCTCAGCAGCACCAGACTCCGCACCCCCAGGCTCCGCACCTCCAGGCTCAGCACCCCCAGGCTCCGCACCCCCAGGCTCAGCACCCCCAGAAGTAGCACCCCGAGCAGGACCACCCTCAGCAGAACCGGAGTCACCAGTGACCTCAACCGGCGCAGTCAAGGGAGGAGGGTCTACCTGAGACACACCTGCAGGAGCAGGACCGGGAGTGGGGAGGGGGTCTACCTGGGGAGCACTTGGAGCGAGGAAGAGCGGCGGGGGGGGGGAGAGGGGCAGTGCGGTAGGGGAAGAGACGGTAAAAGGGAACCGACTCGTCGAACGTGACGTCCTAAGAGGGGAAGACACGGCGCGAGGTGGGGTGGTAAAACTGCCAACCAGGCGCGTCAGGGACAAAACCAAGGAAGACACAGGGAACAGCGCGGGCGGAGAGCTTGTCCGCGATGGTATCGCGGACAAAGGCACGAGCACCCCAGACCCGGAAACGCGACGCATCGCCAACCTTCCCCGTCCACAGCAGTGTGGGCGAAGTCTCCGGCAAGGAGACACGGGGCCAGAGGTTGAGCTGATGCGCGGCGTACCGGACCGCAAACGGCCACAGAAAATGGGGGGCAGCCGCATGGATCATGGAGGTACGAGCGACCTCCATGACTAAGCCAATGCGGCGCTCAGCAACCCCATTCTGCTGCGGAGAGGCCAAAAGCGTGAACGACTGGGTGATGCCGTGCTCCTCACAGAAGGCTGCCAAGAGGTCGGAGGAAAACTCACCACCTCTGTCAGAGTGCAGACGCAGGACGGGAAACTCCGTCCCGAACCGCTCGCGGAGCTGGAGACGAGCAGCGCGGATCCAAGGGATCAAAACACCAGGGACCTCACCCTTGGTGCGCAAGGGGAAGACCGTGGTGTAACGCGTGTAGTCGTCGACGACCAGCAGGAAGTACCGCTCGTGGCCCTGTCCACGGACGCGGGCTGGGCCCCACACATCCAGGTGGAGAGTCTGCAGGGGAGCCTCTGTGGGAGGGAACGAGGAGGAGTGAGGAGCGGCGCGCTGCCGCCCCTCGACACAGGGAAGACAGGGAGGAGCAGGCGAGGGTGGGAGGGGAGGGAGAACCCTGGGAAGACCAGAGACAAGGACACGGCGGTGCATGCTACGAAGGCGCTGCACCGAGGGGTGACCAAGACGGTGGTGCTAAAGGACCGTCTGGTGCGACAAGGCGCGACACGAGCAGGGGGCCGACAACTGACCTGACGCAGACGCAGACGCAGATGCAGCTACTTGAGGGAACTCAGTGGTCAGTGTGTACAGGCCCGACCCAGGCTGCCGAGTGAAAGTAGCCAGGTGACGACCCGTCTGAGCACACGTGCAGTGTGTCACACGCTCGTAGGCTGGGGTGAACTGGTGAACACCCGCGTCCTGAAGCGCAGAACCCGCCACCAAGTTCGTAGAGAACGAGGGGAGGTAAAGACCCGACAGTGTGCCGGACGGGACAGCAGGACAAGGGAGGACAGTGGAGGAGGTAGCACGGACTGGACCCCCAGAGGGGTCTGCCAGGGAGACTGGAACCGGCCGACTGAGCGGCGTGAGGGTGGTGCTGTCGCGAAAGAAGGAGCGAGAAGCACCAGAGTCAAGTGTGAAGGTGTACAAGGCCTCAGCAGGCGCAGTACCAGAGAGAGCAGACTCACCAGCACCTGGAGCGGCAGGCTCTATACCTGGGTCGGGTGGTACGCACAGGTAACAGGCACGGTCAGCACTAGTAGGCAATGCATACATGGAAGTGAGAATAGCATCATAGTCAAGAGCAAATATATCTACCCTCTGCCCAAGCAGCTCCACCCAGTCGGGGAGCTCAGCCTCGTCGCCAAACTCGGTACGCCAGGCGTCACTCAGACGGGCGAAGCAGCGGGACTGTGTGTGACCAAGTGTCCCGCAAGCGTGACCAGTCCGATCACCTGTGCGAATGACCCTCTACTCTGAGCGTACCACTCGTGAAGCTGCTGGGGCGTAAGTGTCTCGCGTGGACGCCGCTGCAGCTGCAGCTGGCCACTGCCAGACGCTCCCAACTGACCAGCTCCAGGGCGACAGCTACGACGGCTACCGCGACAACCCCAACTAGCGTACCACTCACTAAGCTGCTGGGGCGTGAGAGACTCGCGCGGACGTCCCTGGAGCTGCATCTGGCCACCGCCAGTAGCAGGAGTAGCAGTAGTAGCAACAGTAGCAGCAGTAACAGCAGTAGCAGCAGTAGCAGCAGTAGCAGCGCGGCCACCCCTACAGCCCCAACTAGCGTACCACTCACTAAGTTGCTGGGGCGTGAGGGACTCACGCGGACGTCGCTGGAGCTCCATCTGGCCACCGCCAGCAGCAGCAGTAGCAGTAGTAGCAGCAGTAGCAGCAGTAAAGGCAGGCGCGGCAGGCAGGCAGGCAGGCAGGCAGGCAGATGGCGCGGCAGCGAGCAAACAAGGCAGGTGCTCACCAGTGGCGGGAAGAGCAGGCGCTCGCCGGGCGAGTAGGGCCGGCGCTCGGCGGGCGGCTGCACGGGGTCCAGGGGCGGCGTCGCGGGTCCAGGGGCGGTTGCACGGGGTCCAGGGGCGGCTGCTCAAGGGCGGCTGCTGCAGGGGCCAGGGGCGGCTGCTCTGGGTCCAGGGGCGGCCGCTCGAGGGTCCAGGGGCGGCTGCACCAGGGGCGGCTGCTTTAGGGGCCAGGGGCAGCTGCTCGGGGTCCAGGTGCGGCTGCTCCAGGGGCGGCTGCTGCAGGGGCCAGGGGCGGCTGCTCCGGGTCCAGGGGCGGCTGCTCCAGGGGCGGCTGCTGCAGGGGCCAGGGGCGGCTGCTCTGGGTCCAGGGGCGGCTGCACGGAGTCCAGGGGCGGCTGCACCAGGGGCGGCTGCTTCAGGGGCCAGGGGCGGCTGCTCTGGATCCAGGGGCGGCTGCTCCAGGGGCGGCTGCTTCAGGGGCCAGGGGCGGCTGCTCGGGGTCCAGGTGCGGCTGCTCCAGGGGCGGCTGCTGCAGGGGCCAGGGGCGGCTGCTCTGGGTTCAGGGGCGGCTGCTCTGGGTCCAGGGGCGGCTGCACTGAGTCCAGGGGCGGCTGCACCAGGGGCGGCTGCTTCAGGGGCCAGGGGCGGCTGCTCTAGGTCCAGGGGCGGCTGCTCCAGGGGCGGCTGCTTCAGGGGCCAGGGGCGGCTGCTCTGGGTCCAGGGGCGGCTGCACCAGGGGCAGCTGGCCGCACGCGAGCTCCTGAGGCGGCACGCTAGGCAGCTGCAGGCCGCGCGCACTCCTAAGGCAGCGGGCTCAGCAGCAGCGGGCCGCGCAGGCGGCCGACGCGACTCGCAGGACAGCAGCGAGCTGCGTGGGCGGCGGACTCGGCGCGCGGCTCAGTAGCGGGCCGCGCTGGCGACAGACGCGGCGTGCGGGGCCTAAGCGGGCCGCACACGGCGGCGGGCTACTCGGGCTCGACGCGGACTGCGCGAGCGGGCCGGCGCGCGGCGCTACAGCGGGCTACGGAGTGGCCGAGGCGCGCACGAGCTCCTAAGGCGGCTGCAGTAGTGACGCGCGCGAAAAAAAAAAAGTGACGCGCGCAAGCAGCCGAGGCGCGCGCGGGCAGCAGGCAGGGCAGGCAGGCAGGCAGTGAGGCCGTAGGTGAGGTAACTTAGTTAAAGGTGGGCCCTATTCTTAGGTCCTAGAGACCTTAGTGCTCTAGATACCATGTCGAGACTTAGGCAAGGGTGAATTCGAGTATCGAGAGAGTTGGTACAAGAGGAAAATCCTAAGGGGTTATACCCCACACTATCTACCCCACTACAGCCTAGCAATAACACTAACATATATATATATATATATGTTTGACAGAGAGCTCTGCATGCAACAGACAAGGCGAGAATGCATAATTAGCACAGAGATGTATGGTGGGAGAAGATGGTAAGAGGGAAGGAAAGAGAGGACAGAGGGACGGGGAAGGGGAGAGAAGGAGGAAGAGTTGTGCAACAGATGAGAATGGACGATTAGCACACACTTGGAAGATGATTGAGAGGGGGGAGAGGGAGAGACGGAAGAGGGGAAGAGGGGAGAGGGAGAGAGAGAGAGAGAGTGAGAGTGAGAGAGAGAGAGAGAGAGAGAGAGAGAGAGAGAGAGAGAGAGAGAGAGAGAGAAGGCAGAATGGGGACAGGGTGCGAGAGAGATGTCGAGAGGCAGGTAGAGGAGGAGGGGTATGTAGGACGGGACAGGATGAGAGAGGAGGAGGAGGAGGAGGAGGAGGAGGAGGAGGAGGAGGAGGAGGAGGAGGAGGAGGAGGAGGAGGAGGAGGAGGAGGAATAGAGAAGGAGAAAGCAGAACAGAGTGGGAGGGAGGGAGGGAGGAGAGGGTGGGAGGGAGAGGCGGAGAGGCAGATAGAGGAGGGGGATGTAGGACGGGACAGGATGAGAGAAGGGAGATTGGGACAATGGACAGGGTGCAAAAGGGAGGCGGAGAGGCAGGTAGAGGAGGAGGGGTATGTAGGATGGGACAGGATGAGAGAAGGGAGATTGGGACAATGGACAGGGTGCAAAAAGGAGGCGGAGAGGCAGGTAGAGGAGGACGGGTATGTAGGATGCGACAGGATGTGAGAGGGAAGGAAGATAGAGCGTGAGGGAAATACATAGTGAAAGCGAGGGCTTACAAAGGGGAGGGGAAGCTACTGAGGTTGGCATTGACCGTAGACTTGGGTTGCCCTGGGCGCACTGGCATGCCACCCCACTAAAGGCGAGAGGGAAGGCAATTGGGGCTTGCATTGACCATAGACGTTACGGTAGCCCTGAGCGCACTGGCACCCCACCTCCAGGCTGTCGTTTGTCTTAATGCACATTCAACGGAGAGACTTACATTCGGTTGAAGGTTCTTGGGGCTTGCATTTGCCGTAGACTTCCCGGTAGCCCTGGGCGCACTGGCATGCCACCTCCATGCTGTCGTTTGTCTTGATGCACGCGGAGTGTGCCGGGCACTTGGCACGGCTGCAGATGTCGTCTGGATCACATGGGAGGAAGGGGTGAGACGGATGGGATGGGAGGAAATGGCATGGGGGGAGAAGGATGGGGGAAAGAATGGGGGGAGAGGCATGGGGGAAAGAATGGGGGGAGAGGCATGGGGGAAAGAATGGGGGGAGAGGCATGGGGGAAAGAATGGGGGGAGAGGCATGGGGGAAAGAATGGGGGGAGAGGCATGGGGGAAAGAATGGGGGGAGAGGCATGGGGGAAAGAATGGGGGGAGAGGCATGGGGGAAAGAATGGGGGGAGAGGCATGGGGGAAAGAATGGGGGGAGAGGCATGGGGGAAAGAATGGGGGGAGAGGCATGGGGGAAAGAATGGGGGGAGAGGCATGGGGGAAAGAATGGGGGGAGAGGCATGGGGAAAGAATGGGGGGAGAGGCATGGGGGAAAGAATGGGGGGAGAGGCATGGGGGAAAGAATGGGGGGAGAGGCATGGGGGAAAGAATGGGGGGAGAGGCATGGGGGAAAGAATGGGGGGAGAGGCATGGGGGAAAGAATGGGGGGAGAGGCATGGGGGAAAGAATGGGGGGAGAGGCATGGGGGAAAGAATGGGGGGAGAGGCATGGGGGAAAGAATGGGGGGAGAGGCATGGGGGAAAGAATGGGGGGAGAGGCATGGGGGAAAGAATGGGGGGAGAGGCATGGGGGAAAGAATGGGGGGAGAGGCATGGGGGAAAGAATGGGGGGAGAGGCATGGGGGAAAGAATGGGGGGAGAGGCATGGGGGAAAGAATGGGGGGAGAGGCATGGGGGAAAGAATGGGGGGAGAGGCATGGGGGAAAGAATGGGGGGAGAGGCATGGGGGAAAGAATGGGGGGAGAGGCATGGGGGAAAGAATGGGGGGAGAGGCATGGGGGAAAGAATGGGGGGAGAGGCATGGGGGAAAGAATGGGGGGAGAGGCATGGGGGAAAGAATGGGGGGAGGGGAGAGGCATGGGGGAAGAATGGGGGGAGAGGCATGGGGGAAAGAATGGGGGGAGAGGCATGGGGGAAAGAATGGGGGGAGAGGCATGGGGGAAAGAATGGGGGGAGAGGCATGGGGGAAAGAATGGGGGGAGAGGCATGGGGAAAGAATGGGGGGAGAGGCATGGGGGAAAGAATGGGGGGAGAGGCATGGGGAAAGAATGGGGGGAGAGGCATGGGGGAAAGAATGGGGGGAGAGGCATGGGGGAAAGAATGGGGGGAGAGGCATGGGGGAAAGAATGGGGGGAGAGGCATGGGGGAAAGAATGGGGGGAGAGGCATGGGGGAAAGAATGGGGGGAGAGGCATGGGGGAAAGAATGGGGGGAGAGGCATGGGGGAAAGAATGGGGGGAGAGGCATGGGGGAAAGAATGGGGGGAGAGGCATGGGGGAAAGAATGGGGGGAGAGGCATGGGGGAAAGAATGGGGGGAGAGGCATGGGGGAAAGAATGGGGGGAGAGGCATGGGGGAAAGAATGGGGGGAGAGGCATGGGGGAAAGAATGGGGGGAGAGGCATGGGGGAAAGAATGGGGGGAGAGGCATGGGGGAAAGAATGGGGGGAGAGGCATGGGGGAAAGAATGGGGGGAGAGGCATGGGGGAAAGAATGGGGGGAGAGGCATGGGGGAAAGAATGGGGGGAGAGGCATGGGGGAAAGAATGGGGGGAGAGGCATGGGGGAAAGAATGGGGGGAGAGGCATGGGGGAAAGAATGGGGGGAGAGGCATGGGGGAAAGAATGGGGGGAGAGGCATGGGGGAAAGAATGGGGGGAGAGGCATGGGGGAAAGAATGGGGGGAGAGGCATGGGGGAAAGAATGGGGGGAGAGGCATGGGGGAAAGAATGGGGGGAGAGGCATGGGGGAAAGAATGGGGGGAGAGGCATGGGGAAAGAATGGGGGGAGAGGCATGGGGGAAAGAATGGGGGGAGAGGCATGGGGGAAAGAATGGGGGGAGAGGCATGGGGGAAAGAATGGGGGGAGAGGCATGGGGGAAAGAATGGGGGGAGAGGCATGGGGGAAAGAATGGGGGGAGAGGCATGGGGGAAAGAATGGGGGGAGAGGCATGGGGGAAAGAATGGGGGGAGAGGCATGGGGGAAAGAATGGGGGGAGAGGCATGGGGGAAAGAATGGGGGGAGAGGCATGGGGGAAAGAATGGGGGGAGAGGCATGGGGGAAAGAATGGGGGGAGAGGCATGGGGGAAAGAATGGGGGGAGAGGCATGGGGGAAAGAATGGGGGGAGAGGCATGGGGGAAAGAATGGGGGGAGAGGCATGGGGGAAAGAATGGGGGGAGAGGCATGGGGGAAAGAATGGGGGGAGAGGCATGGGGGAAAGAATGGGGGGAGAGGCATGGGGGAAAGAATGGGGGGAGAGGCATGGGGGAAAGAATGGGGGGAGAGGCATGGGGGAAAGAATGGGGGGAGAGGCATGGGGGAAAGAATAGAATGGGGGGAGAGGCATGGGGGAAAGAATGGGGGGAGAGGCATGGGGGAAAGAATGGGGGGAGAGGCATGGGGGAAAGAATGGGGGGAGAGGCATGGGGGAAAGAATGGGGGGAGAGGCATGGGGGAAAGAATGGGGGGAGAGGCATGGGGGAAAGAATGGGGGAGAGGCATGGGGGAAAGAATGGGGGGAGAGGCATGGGGGAAAGAATGGGGGGAGAGGCATGGGGAAAGAATGGGGGGAGAGGCATGGGGGAAAGAATGGGGGGAGAGGCATGGGGGAAAGAATGGGGGGAGAGGCATGGGGGAAAGAATGGGGGGAGAGGCATGGGGGAAAGAATGGGGGGAGAGGCATGGGGGAAAGAATGGGGGGAGAGGCATGGGGGAAAGAATGGGGGGAGAGGCATGGGGGAAAGAATGGGGGGAGAGGCATGGGGGAAAGAATGGGGGGAGAGGCATGGGGGAAAGAATGGGGGGAGAGGCATGGGGGAAAGAATGGGGGGAGAGGCATGGGGGAAAGAATGGGGGGAGAGGCATGGGGGAAAGAATGGGGGGAGAGGCATGGGGGAAAGAATGGGGGGAGAGGCATGGGGGAAAGAATGGGGGGAGAGGCATGGGGGAAAGAATGGGGGGAGAGGCATGGGGGAAAGAATGGGGGGAGAGGCATGGGGGAAAGAATGGGGGGAGAGGCATGGGGGAAAGAATGGGGGGAGAGGCATGGGGGAAAGAATGGGGGGAGAGGCATGGGGGAAAGAATGGGGGGAGAGGCATGGGGGAAAGAATGGGGGGAGAGGCATGGGGGAAAGAATGGGGGGAGAGGCATGGGGGAAAGAATGGGAGGGACATATGGGAGCAGGTGCAGGGCACATATGGCAGCAGTAGGATGGACTTCACTGATGCGCCCATCTTGACCGTACTGCTCACACAGACATGCACATGGGGAGGGGCGCATTGGGTGGGTCGCGCAGCGAGTAAGGTGGGAGTGTCGCTGGGAGCACCAGCCGCCAAAGGGTGGGACACATGCGCGCCAGTAAACAAACAGCACCCGAGCAGTCGGGCGACGCGAACAGCTGCACCGCGTTGCACACCGTACGATCCAAAAACACGTCCCACCACACCACACCAGCACATCCCCCCCCCCCCCGCCAGTAACAAGCGGGTGAGCACTCACCTCATGTCCCTTGTGTGGTAAACCGTGTTTTGGTACTCTGCCGCTGCAGCACCCGAGCAGTCGGCCGACGCGAACAGCTGCACCGCGTTGCACACCGTACGATCCAAAAACACGTCCCACCACACCACACCAGCACATCCCCCCCCCCGCCAGTAACAAGCGGGTGAGCACTCACCTCATGTCCCTTGTGTGGTAAACCGTGTTTTGGTACTCTGCCGCTGCAGCACCCGAGCAGTCGGGCGACGCGAACAGCTGCACCGCGTCGCACACCGTGCGCTCGAAAAGCGCGTCACCCAAAAACACGTCCCACAACAGCAGCGCGTCCACCGCACCTCCTCCGCCGCCGCTCGCGGATGCGACTTCGAGCATCACCGTCCCCACGGATACGCAGCGCTCAAATTCGAATCGGACTTTGCGCGGCTGCGCAAGCGAGCCGAGGAGCATCACGGTCCCCATTCGCACATAACGCCGCACCAGGTCGGTGGCTGCAGCAGCATTTGCTCCTATGGCTGCGGGGAGAAGGGCAAAGACAAAAAGGGAAGGGAAGGGTTGAAAACGAGCGAGCCGAGGAGGAGCATCACCGTGCCCATGCGCACATAAGCCGCACCACATCGCTGGCAGCCACAACATTTGCTGCCGTCGCTGCGAGCATGTCAAACAGAGAAGGGCGAAGACGGAAAGCTAAGCGAAAAGGTCGGAACGAGCGAGCCGAGGAGGAGCATCACTGAGGCAGCGCGCACATAAACCCGCATCACATCGCTGGCAGCAGCGGCATTTGCTGCCATCGACAAGGGTTCAGAACAAGCGAGCTGAGGAGCATCACCGAGCTCAGGTGAACATAAACCCGCATCACCGACGTGAAAAAACGGTGTTTTTGAGACGTCTCAAAAAGAGCCCACGCGCACAAAAACCGGCAGCAGTCGTGCCTTTGCCGGCTGGTGCTCCCAGTGACGACACACCCACCTCACTCGCTCACACAGAGGGAAAGGGAGAATGGCAAGACACGCCACACAGGGAAGGGCACAAGTCACACCCGTAGTACCAGTCGGGTCGGTGCCGCCGCCGCCAGCAGTCGTCCCTCTGATGGCAGATTCTCCCAGCGCCAATGGCACTCCCACCTCACTCGCTGCGAAGACGTCACACGGGGAAGGGGGAATGGCAAGACACGTCCCACAGGGAAGGGCACAAGTCACGCCAGTGGAGTCGGGCCGTCACCAGCAGTCGTGCCTTTGGCGGCTGGTGCTCCCAGCGCCACCGAGTCAGCGACACACCCACCTCACTCGCTGCGAGGATGTTACATGGAGGGGAAGGGAGAGCAGGAAGTGACATGGGGAAGGGCGACAGTCAGCGACAACAACATTTCGACCTCACTCGCTGCGAGGGACATTACACGGGGAAGGGGGAACGCCGAGTAAGTAACCGGAGGTTTCTTAATGTCGGCCAAAGAGTCGAATGTGTACGGAGCGATTTGTTAAGCTTTTCAAGAGCATTCATTTTTTACGGGTATCGCGAGGGAGGGAGACGACGAGGGCGGGGAATCGCGTTTCAATGAGGATGGCGACGACGAGCAGCGCGGCAGCGGCCTTGAAACGACTGTCTCCCGTCATTGTCGCTATGACGGAACGTTATGATGGAACGTTATGTGCGCTCATCACGAGCAGAGCATAGAAGGGAGAGAAGAGGGGCGTACCAACGAGGATGGCGACCATGAGAAGCGCGGCAGCGGCCTTGAGGGGCAATGAGGGAGCATGGCGCGAGAGAGGGAGGGAGGGAGGGAGGGAGGGAGGGAGGGAGGGAGGGAGGGAGGGAGGGAGGGAGGGAGGGAGGGAGGGAGGGAGGGAGGGAGCATGGAGCGAGGGAGGGAGGGAGGGAGGGAGGGAGGGAGGGAGGGAGGGAGGGAGGGAGGGAGCATGGAGCGAGGGAGGGAGGGAGGGAGGGAGGGAGGGAGGGAGGGAGGGAGGGAGGGAGGGAGGGAGGGAGGGAGGGAGGGAGGGAGGGAGGGAGGGAGGGAGGGAGGGAGGGAGGGAGGGAGGGAGGGACGCCTACCAATGAGGATGGCGACAACGAGCAGCGCGGTAACGGCCTTCGAATCTCCCATGCTGATGTTGCGTGGTGCTCGTGGTGGTGACGGTAGAGGCTCGGCAAGTAGCGACAAGGGGTGGTGACGAGAGAGGCTCGACAAGTAGCAACGAGGGTTGGTGGTAGTCTGGGGCGAACTGGAGTGGGACGAGAATCCGTCGAGTCGGAAGCGACGGACTGACGCGAACCCTAAGGCAGCGACGGCGGTGAGTTTTGAGCTTTGAGCGATAGCTTAAACAGTGCTATCACCAATACTGCAGCGACCAAGGCAAGGGTGGCTAGTGCGCGTCGTGTTTCGACTCAAAACACGGACTGGCAGCAATATAAATTTTGAGTTTTGAGCGCTAAAACAGCAATACTGCAGCGACTATCAGAACTCAGGCGCGCTGTAGCAGCGAGGAAGCGCCTTAGAGCGCGCGTATTCTGTACGGTACTCCCTTTGACTAGTGGTTGCGATGGCAGTGGAGCTCGCGACTTAAAATCCCGCCCGACAACGGCGCGGCAAGAACTGTTTCCGGCTATCCGCACGCCCATATTGACTCGAGACTACATAATCTGAGCCCATAATCTCTGCGACGCAACGAAACCTAAGCTGCGAACGCAACTCCCACAATCGTCTACGCAAATGGCTGCCTGCATTGCGGGAAACCCGTGGACCGGCAACAACGGCTGTGTTGGTCTGACTTTGTGCGTACCGTGCTGTGCCGTGCCGTGTGGGGCGCGGTTGACGTGGCTACGTCTGAGACCAAACACTCCCCCCATCTGCCTGCTTCTTTCCTTGCCGAACTGAAGCTACTTGTAGAGAAACTCACGAACGAGACAAGAATGACACGAACTGAATTGATGGTATATTTTGCAGATTCGTAATACGGATAATTTTATTGACAAAATATGGCTCACGAGGCTTAATATGGCGTGAGTGAAATGGGCATTGTGTGTATGCACTACACAGAGCAACTAAGCATAGGTTTGAGGTGATGTGCGAGCGAACAACATCTCGCTGAAGGCACAGTCTGGACATGAATAATGGGATACACGTGAGACTTCAGGAATAGAAGAGAAAATATATATATAGATATATAAAAAAAAATGCAGCATGAAGCATCCCTGAAAACAACTACTTCTGTTTTAACAATCAGAAATCGAAGGCAGCCGTGAGAGAGAGCTATATTGATGGGCCCCCATTGCTCCAAGTGGCACCCCGAGACATTCGTAGCAGCACTGCCACTCCAAAACTTATTAGAAACTTTTCTATCCATGGGCTCTGCTTATTAGGGCCTGGTACAGAACTGGGGATGCTTGAGGGGTTGTGCTGTGTCTATCACCATACCGTAGCAGTGGCTCTCAGCATAGCAGTGGCTACAAGTGAGGAAGAAGCCTAATGGGTTTGGCATTGACCGTAGACGTTTTGGTATCCCTTTGCGCACTGGCACCCCACCTCTCTAAGGGAGGGCTATTTAGGAGACTAATGGGTTTGGCATTGGCCATAGACGTTTTGGTATCCCTTGGCGCACTGGCACCCCACCTCCTGGTCGTCATTTGTCTTGATGCACGTGGAGTGTTTTGGGCACTCGACACGGCTGCAGATGTTGTCTGGATGACAATGTGGGATGGGAAAATCACATGGGAGGATTGGGAGAGAGGGATGGTGAGAGGGATGGGTGAGAGGGATGGGGTGAGAGGCATGGAGAAAAGCAGCATAAATTGCGGCAGGAAGCGCATTCACGGCAGGAAAAGGGTACAGGTGGGAGCAGAGAGCGGATGCATGGCAGCAGTGGCTGCCGCTATTTGTTCATTTTGACTGCAGCAGCATGCATGGCAACAGAAGCAAGGCGAATGCATGGCAAGCAGCATGCATGGTGGCAGCAGCATGCATAGCAGCTGCAGAAAGGGTGACAGTTGGCATAGCAGCAGAAAGGGTGACAGTTGGCATAGCAGCAGAAATTCCAATGCAGGGCAGCAGCAGCAGGGCACTCACCGAGAACGCAGCGGATGGATTTTACTGATGGACTTATCTTGGTGACACAGCATGGCAGCAGCAGGGTGTGCATGGCAGTAGATGACAAATAGCAGAGGAAAAGCAAATGCATGGCAGCAGCAGGGCACTCACCGAGAACGCAGCGGATAGACTTCACTGACGGATTGATCTTGGTGGTACTGCTCTCACACGCACACAGGGGGAGGGGGAGGAGGGGCGCATGGGAGGGACTTTAGAGTGAACCTCTGAAAGTCAATGCACGGCAGGGATGGACTTCACTGATGGATTTATCTTGGTGGTACTGCTCGCACACGCACACAGGGGGAGGGGCACATGGGAACGGGGGTGAGGAGGGCACATGGGAGGATCGTCGGGGTGTGGGGAGGGGCGCTTGGGGACCCGTAGGAAAGTGGGGCATGCAAGCAAGGGAGCGAGCTTTGCTGCGCACCACTGCCAGTAACAAACGAGTGAAGTGAATTCTGAGAGGTCAACTCATATACCCCGCGCACCGGAAGAGGTATTCTCCCGTGTATTTGAAACTCGCCGCCGCAGCACCCGAGCAGTCGGGCGACGCGAACAGCTGCACCGCGTTGCACACTGTGCGATCCCCCCCACCAAACACGTCCCACCACACCACCGCGTCTCCTCCTCCCCCTCCGCTGCTGCCGCCCGCACCGCCCGCGCCGCTGCGGCGCGCGCCCGCGCCGGCGCCGCTCGCGCCGCTGTCGATGCCCGCGGACGCGCCTTGGGGGACGGACACGCAGCGCGCCCAGTCGAAATCGACGTAGTTTGGCTGCGCGAGCGAGCCGACGAGCACCACCGTGCCCACTCGCACCTTGGCGGGAACCACTTCTTTTGCAGCCGCTTGATCCGCTCCCATCGCTGTGAGGATGCCAGAAGTGGGAAGGTGGAGTCAAAATGGGAAGGGAAAGGGCGAAGACAGAGAAGGGCGAAGATAGAGAAGGGCGAAGACAGAGAAGGGCGAAGACAGAGAAGGGCGAAGACAGAAAGGTCGGAACGAGCGAGCCGGCGGGCATCACAAAGCCCACGCGGAGCACCGCCTTCACCGTCTCTCGCGCGCCGCGCTCGCCACGGCGACCCTACCAGCCGCGAGGCTCGCAGTCCCACCTATAATACCAGCGGAGTCGCTGCCGCCGCCAGCAGCATTCCGATGGCGGCAGGTGCTCCCAGCGATGCTCCCTCAAATGATCACTCGCCGCGAGGAGGGCGCTCGACGGAAATAGGCGGAATGCCAAGTCAGTTACGGGGGGCTCGCAGATGTAGACACGTTTTTGGTGGAGTGTTGACTTTTGAGGCGCCTCAAAAGTCGACGGGAAAAGGCGAAAGACGGGGGGGTTCGCAGATGTAGACATTTTTTCGGTTGGGTGTGTACAGAGTGAGGGTTTGAATGACAATTATGTGAACTCTTCACGCGCGTTCATTTTCAACGAGCGTTCGCTTTTGTCACGAGCATCGCGAGGGAGGGAGGCGACACGGGCGGGGGGAGACGACACGGGCGGGGTGAGGCGCGTACCAATGAGGATGGCGAAAACGAGCAGCGCCGCGGCAGCGAGCTTGGAATCTCCCATGCTGGTGCTCGCGGTGGTGACGAAAGAGGTTCGGCAGGCAGCGGCGCGGGCGAGGGTTGGTAGTCGATGTGGCCTTTTTTCAAAGGCACGGTCGTTGGGCGAGTCAGAAAAGACCGTGACGGACTGATGCCTCACAACGCCACCGAGAGGTGAACTCGAAGTCAGCGGCGACGACGGCAGGGTTAAAGAGGTAATGGCTAGCTAGTGCGCATCGGAGCCTCACGAGATGATCACTGAGTGATAAACGACTAGGTGAGCGCGTTTTTCCTGGAGAGACTCGCTACTAGGAATATATGCTTCAGAGCGCCCGTATTCGACACAATCCGTATTCGATACTCTGGGCTGCGATGGCAGCGCAGCTCGCGACTCGAAAGGCCGAACGCCAGCGGCGCGGCAATAATTCACGGAATGTTGAAAATAATTCACCCGCTCATAATTTCGGCGACACAACGAGACCAAAGCTGCAAACGCGGCTCCCATAATCGTCTCCACTCCGCTCGAAAAGGGAGGCAGATCTGTGGACTGGCAACAATGGCTGCGTTGGTCAGACATCGTGCGGGCCATGGCATTGCTGCTTCTAAAACCAATAATGCTAGTGCTTCTATAATGCTAGTGCTTCGTCTTCCCTCTGCCTGCTTTATGGGGGGGAGCACTTGCATTAGGGCGCATTTCGTGCCTCGTAACAAGTGACTTCTGAACAAGTTGTCGTCACACACGACCAAACCCGATACGAGGCTATGTTTTTTCCTCCCCCAAACAAACAAGTCGGACAAAGTAGCAAAAAGTCGTACAGCAGTCGCTTGTTACGAGGATGATTGTTCGTATACCTGAAATGCGGCCTGGGGCAAATTGGAAGTCACTCTACTTTAGAGAAACTCACGAACCATAAAAGAATGGCAGAAGGTCAAAGCGTACAGTTGCAGTTCTGCTATACGTAAATATGTTCATGGGAGCGTTTATTTTCTACAAGCTGTGTTTACTCAACAGGTTCTACAATAGGGTGTACTACAATGCAGTCACCCATGGCTTACAAGCAGACCCGCAATGCTAGAGCTGGTGCGATGCATCTGCTGCAAGCGGCCAGGCTAGAATTCTTGGTAGGTCAATGCCGCCTTGCTCGCTGATCTGATGTGTCGTCGTTTCAATGAGTCCGTGCTCGCAATCACTCTCAGCCTCCAAAATCTCGTGCGTCAAGCCAATCAAATTTCGAATGGGTGACATGGCAACCATATGACAAGCACATGGAAGCTGCACGCGTGGTCGTGCGTGCAACCTGCCAAAATCTGAGGAGGAAAGGCCTGCCAGCGTGGACCATCCCAAACTGAACACGTCTCCCTTTTTTCTCCCAACTGCTTTTTGGAGTATGGGAGGAGTAAATTGGTGCGCCTCGGTCTGTCATCAGCCGAATGTGTGGGTGCGTGGGTCTCGTCGAATATGCGGCTCCACCTCAGGCCACAGATGGGGCTTCGCTGTGCAATTCGCTTGAGGGAATGTATCCGAAGGCCCGCTTGGGCAAAATTCGTTGCACTAGCGGCGCCTATAAAATTCCTCGTTCCACTCATTATCATCAACCAGCTCACTCTTCGCTTCAGTTTCATCTGCTTAGACATCTGAGCTCTTTGCAACTCCTCAGCTCTTATCTAAGCAGAGCCGAACTCAGCTCCCTCTCACACCATGGCCACTTCTCTCGTTGCCCGTCAGGCGATCGCCTCCCTCACATTCAGCGCCAGCGTTCGCGGCGCTGCGCTCTCCACCCCTCGCCTCACCGCGACCCCCGCCGCCGCCGCCGCTCCTCGCGGCCTCGGTCTCACCACCACCGCGCTTTTCTCCAAGAAGGCCGCCGCGACCCCGGCGAAATCCGCGAAGGCGGCTACCAAGCTTCGCACGGAGGATGGCATCTTCGGCACGTCGGGCGGGTTCGGCTTCACGAAGGCTAACGAGCTCTTCGTCGGCCGCGTCGCCATGCTCGGCTTCGCCGCGTCGCTCCTTGGAGAGGCCATTGACGGCCAGGGGATTCTCGGACAGCTCAACCTCGAGACCGGAATTCCCATAACCGAGGCCGAGCCGCTTCTGCTCTTCTTCATCGCCTTCACCGTGCTCGGCGCGATCGGCGCGCTCGGCGACCGCGGGCGCTTCGTTGACGAAGAGGCGCCGCGCTTCGTCCCCGCGAAGCCCGGGAGCCTGCGGTCCGCGCTGGGCCTCAGCGAGGAGGGCCCGCTCTTCGGCTTCACCAAGGCGAACGAGCTGTTCGTGGGGCGCATGGCGCAATTAGGGTTTGCCGCGTCGCTGGTTGGGGAGGTTATTACCGGCAAGGGCGCGCTTGCTCAGCTGAACATTGAGACCGGTCTGCCGGTCTGGGAGGTCGAGCCGCTTCTGCTTGCGAGCATTGTGATTCTGTTCATCGCGGCGATCAACCCCGGCACGGGCAAGTTCATCAACGACGACGAGGAGTAGAGGCGAAATGTGTTACTCCATGTGTGACCAAAAAGTGCGAAAGCACGTGTTTTGTTACATCTAGGGTTCTCCCCGAGTTCGTGTACAGCCGTAAGGCAATTTTGTTTCCTTCTCTTGTGTTGATATTATTATTATACCCAATCACGAGTTATTCACCTTAAATCCAGTCATCCAACGTCTTCTTTCAGAAGTTGAATGCATGCACTGGAACTAGACCCGCTCAGAATCTCTCTCATGGTAGAGGATGTTTTAAGATCCTTGTCTACTGCTTCGCCGTTTAGTTTTCAAGGCTCCACCTTGACTTCTCCTCCTGACCCCGTATTGTGACGCAGTCGTGACATAGATACTGTATAGTCAAGAGCAGAGACTCACTCTGCTGGTGCCAAGTGACAAATGTGGGAAGAGCTCTGGGACAGAGGAGCTGGAATCGAGACGAAATTGAAGGGAAAAAGTGATGACGGGGTTGTGCCGCTGATAGCGATTGAATTCCTCGTTGATAACCGTTGATAGCCTGGCTGGGAAATGAGAAGTGAACGCATGGTAGCGATAGGAGGAAGCATGCTTACCCCGGCTGTGTACGCGTTTGAGTGCAACTCGACACCGGAACATGTGGTGCTGTACTTGTCTAAATGATCTGACACTCAGAGTTGGAAGGGAACCATTCAAAATCTAGTAAAGGTACAGAACCGTACTCATTTAAACATTCTGGTAAATAAACAAAGAGAGACCCGGATGGCTCAGTGAGCTTAGCTAAGCTTTCCCAACTCCATCTTTTTCTTGATAGCCTTGTGCCCATGGTAAACCACAGCATCTATTATCCCCGTCACAGTGAACAGTCCTGCATGCAAGACAAAAGTGACACAAAGAGAAGTCGCCTATAGGTTTAATCGTATGTATTCAAGAGGCCAACTTATGTTTATGCTACATTGATGCAGCAATGATGCCTAAGAAGAAGTAACAACCCTGTCTTACTTCTGAATCTGCACTAAGAGCTGATTCACTACACACCACACCTCTCTTAAGAGCGAGAAAGTTTGAGAATATTCCTCACCACCAACCAAATGCAACCTTCAAGCATACAACCAGTAAAGACAAAGATAAAGCCAAACTCTCACCTCCTATGATCGCACAGACGTTGGTGAGGAAGTGGAGGAAGGATGTGTGCTGCTCTGTGAAGCGAACCTGGTGTGTGAGTAAAGCAGGTGTGCAGGAAAGGGAGGTTGCAAGTGTTTTGAGACATCACACAACAGGGAATATGGTGCATGCAATCTATTATAGATGTGCACTTTCACAGTCACTCATGCCCAGGCAGCAGCAAGGACGTGAAGAAAGGATGTGCGCTGCTCTGTGAAGCGACCCTGGTGCGTGAGAGCAGGGGGAGGATGAAGAGTCTTCGAGATGATTCAAAGCAGGGGGGAGGCTGGATATCAGAGTCAGTGTTTGTATGCGCACAGGGATTAGTGACAAAGGGAAGGATGTGTGCTGCTCTGTGAATCGACCCTGGTGTGTGAGAGCAGGGGGAGGATGATGGATGTCAGCGTTATTATTAGAGACAAAGGCAAGAAAGGGGAGGAAGGATGTGCGCTGCTCTGTGAAGCGACCCTGGCGCGTGAGAGCAGGGGGAGGATGATGGATGTCAGCGTTATTATTAGAGACAAAGGCAAGAAAGGGGAGCATGGATGTGTGCTGCTCAGTGAAGCGACCCTGGTGTGTGAGAGTAGGGGGAGGATGATGGATGTCAGCGTTATTATTAGAGACAAAGGCAAGAAAGGGGAGGAAGGATGTGCGCTGCTCTGTGAAGCGACCCTGGTGTGTGAGAGCAGGGGGAGGATGAAGAGTCTTGAAGCGAGCCAAGAGAGAGGGATTGTGTGAAAATGGTGGTAGAGGAGAAGAGAGCGGTCAAGGCGAGGAATGCAGAGAGGGTTTTTTAGGCGCCTCAAAAATCGCCAAGAGAGAGGGATTGTGTGAAAATGGTGGTAGAGGAGAAGAGAGCGGTCAAGGCGAGGAATGCAGAGAGGGTTTTTTAGGCGCCTCAAAAATCGCCAAGAGAGAGGGATTGTGTGAAAATGGTGGTAGAGGAGAAGAGAGCGGTCAAGGCGAGGAATGGCGAGAGGGTTTTTTAGGCGCCTCAAAAATCGCCAAGAGAGAGGGATTGTGTGAAAATGGTGGTAGAGGAGAAGAGAGCGGTCAAGGCGAGGAATGCAGAGAGGGTTTTTTAGGCGCCTCAAAAATCGCCAAGAGAGAGGGATTGTGTGAAAATGGTGGTAGAGGAGAAGAGAGCGGTCAAGGCGAGGAATGCAGAGAGGGTTTTTTAGGCGCCTCAAAAATCGCCAAGAGAGAGGGATTGTGTGAAAATGGTGGTAGAGGAGAAGAGAGCGGTCAAGGCGAGGAATGCAGAGAGGGTTTTTTAGGCGCCTCAAAAATCGCCAAGAGAGAGGGATTGTGTGAAAATGGTGGTAGAGGAGAAGAGAGCGGTCAAGGCGAGGAATGGCGAGAGGGAGGAGACGAGCACCCCTTGATGGGCGAGGAATGCAGAGAGGGAGGAG